TGTTTTTGTTCCTAGCAACACTGGTTGGTGATTATCTCTGTTAAAATGATGGTGAAAACAGGAACCTCAAAAGTTATCACAAGCCTTCATGCCAGTGGTCCTGTAGTCCCTTCCATAGGAACTTCTCTGATAAGACTCACCTGAGTGAACCAGTGCTGGCTGTTTAAACATACTGGTCTCAATAATGAAATCCTCAGCCCTTCTCCCATCTACTTCCTGTTCCCCCCATCATCTCAGTCTACTTCTAACATCACAGCAATTCTGTATTTATCTTTCTACTACTTTCTACCTACTAAAGATTAAGTCAAAGCAACGGAAGAGGAAGTACCAGCTATCTGCAGCCACACAGTATTACACTGACTTTTGTAACCTGGCAGTCATTCTATTTCTCATGTAACAAGCCAGAGCTTATCACCAGGTCAGATGATACCATCATCAACATCATCCCTTACTGAGGGCCAGACCAGTTCTAGCTCCCTTTTCCAAGCCATATGGACACAATGGTCTTAGTTTTCAGCATAGGACCAGCAGGTGGAATGTGTTCTACACCCACACACACAGACCTGACCTCAGTGATGGCATTTGGCTCCTCTGTGAGCCAAAGGGAACTGTCTCATCCACGCCATTTACCCACCCTAAATTTGGCAGGGTAAGTCAGGATGTGCTGCCAGGGTCCTATACAAAGTCCTGCAGTCCCATGGGTGACCGACTATGCCTGAAATTTGCTGAACTGTACCTTCAGAGAGGCTGCCAGAGGCTTAGGAAATAATAGGAGATGCTGTACTTACTGTGTTTCTTCGCTTGATATCAAATATTGGGGTATACTTTGCCACCCACGTGCTTAGTGCTCAATATACTTAAGCCATTTGTAATGCAGACCTGTAGTTGCATTGCAGAAGCACACAGGAAGAGAGACTTGAGACTTCAACAGTCAAGGGCAGGAGAAGTTGGCATTTGAGCGACTGATTTGGACTGGGGACTAAGCACATTAGTTGGATGAGTCTGCTGAAATGAGCAGCAGTGAAGTAATTTATATTGGCACCAAGGGCCAGTAAGGTTTCAGGATTAACTCTGTGATTGCAGTGAACTGCTGTTTTTGCTTTGCTGTGCTAAGTCTGCTCTAAACATCTTGTGGATTAAAATATACAAAATGATCAAACATGATGAGAATCAATTCCCAGCAGCTATAATCTTCTCAATTTCTTAATCCACCTGAAATGAGAAAGGTTTAAATCCTGAGTAGCAAGCTACCACAACATTCATCAAATGATTCCGTGACAGTACTAAAAATAGTCTCAGGATCCATACTCTTGAGCTTCATAATTACACTGTAGTCTTCAGTACAACTCATTTAGGACTTAGGCAGCTCATGTCTCATGCCCACACCCTGTTTTTTTTTGCCTACAGGTACCTGCTGGAGCAGGATTTCCCAGGGATGAGGATTGGACCAGAGCCTACAACTGACTCCTTTATAGCAGTTATGCAAGGAGATGTGGAAGGAATTGTTCCTGGAAATGCATTGGTGGTGGATCCCAAAAAGCCATTCAGGAAACTCAATGCCTTTGGCAATGCCTTTTTGAACAGGTCAGTATTCACGAACTTAGTTGCTCTGGAGAGCAAAGCTAGAACCCAATGAGCAAAATAGCCAGCAATTAAAAGGATAAGGCATTACACTATTATTCCTTTTTTCCCCTCATTGACACGGCTGATGCAAAGCCATTCTAGTCCTACCGGGTCACTTGCTGAAGGGCACATTAACAAATTCGATTGGGACAAACCTTCATTTTACTTGTACAAACAAAACACAGAACAGCACAGCCTGTCAAGCTCATCGAAAAGTCTAGAGGTAATTCTCTTTATTACACTTTGTTCTCCTTTGCTTTTATATTCCTCACTGCTTCCATTCTGCTGTTAGTTCAGTTCCCTGAAATTAAATAGTCCAACCAGATATAGCCACTGAAGTCAGTAGAGAAGTGGAACTGGCACAATATGCATGTCTTTGCTTTCTTGCATTTTAAAAAATAGCTTAAATGTCCCTACTGTAACAAAACCAGGCACTTTCCATTCTAATGCCTTATACTTATAATCTCAGGTGCAAACTGATGACAGCTCTAATGTCTTCCCTGTAAAAATCCTGTAGGAGAGGGTTTGAACAGGGGCTCTGTGACACAAGAAATGTAACCTTTCCATCCCATAGACCAAGCCCAACCATACTGAGTTTTGGATCTAGGCCTTTCAGGAAGCCAGCAGCACACACCCATATCCTAGATGAGCACAAACTGTGCTACAGCAGGCAGATGGGAACAAATTGACTACACCTATCATCAGCACCTTCCCTGCTAACACAGTGTGGGAGACATTGGCTGAGCAGCTGCCATGTTTCCAGTCAACCAGGAAAGCTGGGCTTTGGCTCCCTTTCTAATTTCCAAGCTTAGATAGTGCCTATCCAGAGAGTGCAGCATCTCTTACCAGTTCTGACCACAGGAATGCTGGTGTAGGCTGTTGTGAGACAGCAGAGGGACCTGCGGAGAAGTGTGGAGAGAAGCTTGATGAGAGAAGAAGAGCATAGCTGGAGTCACTACTATGCAGAGAACTTCACAGAGCCTCAGGGTGGCTCTGAAGCAGTATCTGATCACTACACGGGCCCATCACTCAAATACATCAACATGGTCCTGCACCAGAGAGACTGAGATGTTTTCAGTATTTTATAGGGCCCAGAACATCTGCACCAGACCAACAGTTAGATCAAGTGACTGCCCACTCCCTACACCAGGGGAGAAAGGTGGTTTGCCATAAGAAAACAACAGGCTTCCTGGAGCATGGAGATAGTAGATGAAGAGAACATCATTCAGAGCAGCTCTGCTGATAACCAGGAACAGCCACAGCTGACAGACAGTTCACTGCAGAGAAGCAGCAACATCAAGAGTAAGGAGGCCAGGCATGGAGGACAAAAAAGCAAATGCTTCTGAACTGGACTGATAGATGTGTCCTGAATGCAATTTGCTTCTAATACAGCAAGGGATCTCTGCATCCATTAGCCTAGTTCACTGTATCGTGCTGTGTTCTTGTTATTCTCCTGCTGCTCTTCCTTCTCCTGTAAGGAAGGAGTCAAGTGTGTGCCTGTGAGGACAGCAGGGCAGAGGGACACAGCAGTGATTCAGCAGCAGCAGAAGTGCAGTCCTGCTAGCAATGTAGGGACTAGCCACAACAGCTTATTAACCACTTTTCCACTGACAGATTAAAAAAAAGGGGGGCTGATGACTTCTAAACTGGCAGAGGAAGATGCGCTAAGGGGGACAGGCTCAACAGTGTGAGCATCACAGTGCTGAAAATGCAGATGGTAATACCCGGCTAATTAGGAATTTAAGTACATGCAAGAATTGACTCAGAGGGCCAGAATTATAGCAGATGTAAGTCAGGGTGCACCCACTGGACTGGATCAAGCCACCCACGCTTACCCCTGCTGTGGGCCTGATTTCTTGGCAAGAGACAATGCAGAGCTGTCTCTGCCTTGCCTGTACCTTGCTGCTGCTATGTGTTTACTAAGTCAGTAACCTCAGCTAGGAGTCTGTAAGCAGGAAATTTAAAGAGAGGTGATCTCCAGGAGCAGCCCCTCTAAACTGAGATAAGAGAGTGACCACGGGCAAATCTGCTTTATTCTTGGATGGTGAAAGGTAGCAATTGGCTGTGGGCACCAGTGGAAAGGAACAGAGCAGCACAAGGCAGTAGCATTTACACAGGCCATGATGGTCTCAGCTGAGAGGTGGAAGCCCATGGCACTGTGTAACTATGGGGTGGAGAGCTTGCTGCTCCAGAGAAGCTCAGTGGAGGCACAAAAGGAGTGAGCATCCAGCCTCAGCTGGTACTCCTTTCCCAGCAGAGGCTGGGATCTGCTGCCTTCCAGGAAGCAAGGGAAGAGTGGTACAGTCAGGATTTGGCTGGGAGACAGCAGCTAATTGTGCTGCTCAGAGCCTGTCTCCTCCCTCCCTTCATTCCCAGGAGATGGAGCGCCTGCCTTCTGGCTAAGGGCAGAGATAGGGCTGACAGGCTAGCAGCTCTGCAGTACCATGGTCTGGCCCTGTCTTTTATTATCTTCTCCTTGGTCCAGGTGGTTTCTTGGTATTGAGAGAAAAGCTTGTTTTCCTCACTCCAACTCTGCTGGCAGTATACCAGTACTGGAGGGATCCCATCAGAGAGATTGCAGGTTGCACCTTGTTATCAGGAGGACTTGTTTGGCACCAAGAGCCTGGAGCAAAATCAGGAATCTCACCCATTACTTTCATATCACATTGGCTTGGTTGCAGGATTCCTCCCACCCCAAAAGTCCATCTTGGGAAGCTAAGATAGAGTCAGCCTGCTTTTGTGTTATCAACAGCAGGAAACATCATGGGTAACAGGTTTCTCCTTCACTCCCATGCTCTGCCTGTAAAGGTAGTGAAAGTCTAGTTTGGCACCATGATTTTCCCCTCATGTGGCCCCAGACAGAATTAGGTCATGCTCCTTGAGGTCCTGCAATTCTGTGGGACAACAGGAAGGCAGCAGCCTTAACAACCTTACCAACAGAGCCAGAATGCACTTACTCATGCTGGCCTCTGACCTTATCTCTGAAATCTCCTGTGGAGTACTTTCCCTAGAAAAACTGGTGGAAAATCCCCTTGCCCAGCCATTTAATATTAGACCACAAAGAGTGCTCAGGGCTGTAACAATGGAGAGCAAACCTAGGCTGACAGGAAAGAGGAATAATATGATCTCCTGAGCCTTTTGTTCTCCTCTGCTGTGCCTGGCATTCAACAGGAGAATCCATCCAGCCCCCCTCTTTTACATGAGGTGTTACACATTCAGAAATGCTCCCTGTTGCCACCTGCCAAGCTGTGGATGTAGAGAGAGAGGCTGTAATATGTGGTCTGAAATAGCTAACAGCTTAGGAGAGGAAACACTTGGCTAACCCACGAGGATTCACTCATGTCAGAATGTTCTTGGAGTCATACAACTAGAAAAATTGGGGTGAGGTTGTAGCATAGCCTGGAAGAGTTCATAGCTGTAGGGACTTCAGCAGAACCAGCCACTCATTTGAGCTCTGCAGGGCTCTGCCTTGACTGCATCCTAGTGGTCCTTGTGCCTACCCCCCATCCTTTATGTGGTTCTGCTTCCTCCCACAGTAACATGTTTTTTTATGCCTCAATGTCACATCACCCTATTAACATGCATATGTACATAAACACACATTTATAGCTGCCTGGAATGCCATCACAAAAAGGCTATCCACAAAATGCTACCGGGAGCCACCTAAGTGGATAGGCTTTTACTGTCCTTTGCTGTTAGCAGGAACTGAAATAGATGAGCTGCAACCCACTAAGAACAAGCACGAGTTACTACTCTTAGGCAGTGATTTGCATAGATACAAGATGGGGAACAACTAGCTAAAGAGCAATTTCACAGAAATGGAGCAGTAGAGGGGGAGAAGTGAATTACAAACTGAATGTAAGTCAACGGTGTCATATTGCTGTTAAAAAAGCAAACATCTTACCGAGATATATAAACAGGACTGTCATATGCAAGAGATACAGAGAAATCTCATAGCCTTTTATGAGGATATAACG